ATATAACAATATATATATATATAATTGTATAAATTTACAAGATTTAAGCTAGTTAGACTAAAATTTTGTGTTTTCGTGTTATAATACGTAGTTATTCTAGAACAAAAAAAAAGCATAATTTTTTGTTTCTAATTTTTTATTGAGGTTACAAAGTTGATCACATCGAACCAACCCTTACAGAAATACACTAGTGAAAATAACAAATAAAATGTAGTTTTTAAACAAAAAGTTTTATAATTATCTGAAGTTTATAAAGATTTCGTATGTAAAATTTGAAAATGTTCTAATGCATTAAAGTATTTTTAATCTTAAAATCAAAATTGTTTTGCATGTTGGATAGTCAACATTTTGAAAGAAAAAGGTTTTTGAGAAAACCTGCAAAATTTTGTAAAGATGTGCTTATATTATGAAAAATCATAGTATAATTACTCTAATGAATACTTTATTGATTAAGAGGTGGGTGGATTCTACCCAGCCCATAATGGAAGGGTTAATGGTGGGCCACAAGGAGTAAAATAAATAGATTAAGGTTCTAACAAGAGGCACAAGCAAAGAGGAATAAGAAACAGAATTATAAATACCTTTGGATCAGATGAGCCTCTGAAGTGACACAATTAATGTTATTCATGGTTCACAAATAAAGGCAGAATTGGTAGTTCACAATAACTGCTTTCACTAATCCAGTACAAAGTTGTAACTCTGTCAGTGTTCCATAAAATCTTCAAAGCCTGTGGATGGAAGCTATGGATATTTTGTCACATGTATAACTAGCTTTGGTGTGTATATTCTGTATCATTTTTCAAATTAGTTATAAGGATAATTAAGGCAAAATGTTTGACCTTACACTAATCATAGCATTAGGAGAATAATGTTAATTTATAGGTACTGGATACAGACTGATTATCATAAGTTGATCTAGGAAGTTAATATTATATTAAGTCACTCCTGAAAGGATGGCAACATTGATGTTTAACAATGAACCTTAAATTGTTAATCCAGGTATTTATATATGTTTAAAGTCTCAGAATATGGTCTAAGAATGACCTGAATTTAACTATATTGTATGTGTTGACATTTTTTAGGAGAAAAAAACATGTCCTTTCAACATTGAATTCAAGAAACAGACATATGTGTTATGTATAGATTTTAATAGATTACCTTATGCTTAAAATATCCCAAAAATATTTTAAAATCATTACACTGTCTTGATTAAGTAAGATATTGTAGTGATCTGTTTTGTATTTGGCCTCCATTTTGGAAAAATTACTATGACCTTGAAGGCTTAGCCCTACACTTTTCATTTTACTCTAATGAATTTCTGAGTGCCTAAAATATTAGAAACCTTATATTTCTCTCTTGAGTAGATCAGAAGCTATAATGACTTGTGTTATGTTTGGTACCAATGTTTTGTTTTGTTTTCTTCACTTTTTGGGTCTAAAATGCAAAAGTTAGCTTGGTATACAGCATTTTAAGAAGCAAGTCCAAGTTCTGTAAAAATGACTGTAAACCCTATTCCACTTAAAATGCCTTTATGTCTCATTTTCTGGAAATAGAACTAGAGTATATTCTCTGCTCTTCATCTTTAAATATGACTTGATCTATTATGTGTGCAAAGCTCCAATCATCTTTTTATCTTTCAAGGACACACATTAATTTGAAGTACTAGAACATAGGTAATCTTAGTTCAGAACAACAGAGGAGTTCTAAAAAAATAACAACCAAAAGAGAATTTATTGCCCTTTTCTTTAACACTTTTACTCCTGGTTACTCTATCAGAGAGAAAATAATGCCACTCTCATCATATTTAGTTTCAAAAATGGATGAAATTGTTTAAAATTTGACAAGAACATTCCTAAAAGTATGTAGTTTCAGAAAAATAAAACAGTTGTATTTTTTCTACTATTTCTAATAAAAAATGTGTTATTTAATGTAGTTATTTCCACTCTCACTATTTTATATCTTACAGTTTTCACATTTCATTTGTATAATCTCTAAAACCTCATAAATGAATATCAAAAGTTTTTAAGGTAATATTTATATTTTATTTTTCATTTCTCTTCTATGTCACTAACTATCTATTATGACCAACATAAAGTGTAATGATATGTTTAAAACTAACAAATGAAAATATGTACATACCTTTCAACTCTTTGTAGAAATCCACTAGAAGTCTTCATTTTCTCATATGCATAATGTCATGTCTTATCTTTTCATCTATAGTTTATTTTAAATTTCTAATTTTCCTTTCAAATTCTTTGTTTATTAGCATTTATGTCCATACATCAAATGATGCCTGTGGCGCTTTACGATGGTATTTCAGCATACTCCCTGTAGAGATGTGTTGCCAAAACAGATTGGCGCTTATACATGCCATCTTATTTTTATAACCTTTCAAAATGTAAGTGACAAGTTAAATTTATAAAAATCATTAAACTGCTTAAATATGATTTTTAAAACACACATAATGCATAATTAACTAAAATATAAAAGTAAAACCTATATATAATTTTTAGGTAAGAAACCACCATACATGCTATAGTCGATCAAGTAGACAACAATATGAACGGCAGTAACATGTATGCCCTAAGAAAAACTTGTTGCCAATTTCAAATTAACCATTGATAAAGCATAGTGTAAATGGAGCTCTTTCAAATGACTATATACACTTGTGTCAACTAACTAGATGTATGTTGTAGATCTCAAAGCAAAGTTTAGAAGGAGGGCATGGCACCTGTCAAGGGTTGGAAAATTTATATATCTGCCTCCCAGACAACCTAGCTTGTAGACTTTAGATTCTCCCATGTCAATTAGGTCAGACATGTGTATGTAGGTTTAAATATTCCTGTACACTGCCAGCAAGGAGCAAACCACTGCTAAAGTTGAGATTTTTCAAACCGCGTGGACTATGTGCCATGAAAAGCTGCAGTTTAAGTATGACTCAACTAATATCTGTTGGCCTGCTTAATTATACATTTGTGTTTTGTATTATTAGAAAGCATCATAACACATGTCACATTTTCAATTCAAAATTTGCAAGATTTCTAATAGTGAAGTGTAAGGTTCTTATTGTTATTGAACTGAAAAGTTAAAGTCAACATAAGCTGTGATCAATTGGCTATCCTCATTCTACTTTCTGATCAGTCACTACGTCTACTCCATTGACGAAAGCTTCTAATGCCCTTAACTCTTTCAGCCCAGGCTTGGTCTCTGTGACTGACCTCGTAACCATTTTGT